CCCAGAGACCACCTCAGTGACCGCGCCCCGCTGCTCTCATCCTTCGGTTCCCCGGACTCACAGCTGCTTCCTTAGGAAAGGCGTGCACCCATTAATTTTAGGTAAATCGTCATACAGGAAGGGGCACAGATCGTAAGTGTATAGTGTGATGAGTTGGACAAGTGTCAGTACCCACGTAACCAACACCCCAACAAAGACAAAGGCTGTTTCCATCACCCCACGAAGTTCCTCACCTTTTCCCAGTTGGTCCTCTCCTCACCTCAGGCAGTGATTGGTTGATTTCTATTAATGTAGATTAATTTCCCCCTCCCCTTTTTTAAAATGTATTTTATTGATTTTACACAGAGAGGAATTGAGAGGGACAGAGAGTTAGAAACGTCGATGAGAGAGAAACATCGACCAGCTGCCTCTTGCACACCCCCCACTGGGGATGTGCCCGCAACCAAGATACATGCCCTTGACCAGAATCGAACCCGGGACCTTTCAGTCCGCAGGCCGACGCTCTATCCACTGAGCCAAGCTGGTCCCGGCTAATTTCCCCCCTTTTTTGAGTATTATTTAACTGAACTAATACAGCATGTACCTTTTGATCTGGCTCCTTCTGCACAATATAATTTCTGAGAGATTCGTCTACGTTGTGTGTATATCAGGAGTTTGTCTGTTTGTTTGTTTCTGAGTAGCATTCCATTGTAAAAACAATGGTTTGAACAACATAAACTGATGAACAAAAACAGACTCAGAGAAAGAGAAGCACCGAACAGACTTTCAAACCTCAGAGGGAAAATAAGGAGGGTGGGGGTAAAGGGGAAGAGATCAACCAAAGGACTTGTGTGCATGCATATGGGCCTGGCCAGTGGCCATGGACAACGGGGGTGGGGGTGAGAGCATATGTAGGGAGGGGCTTGGGATGGGATTCGGGGGATGAGGACAATTATGTGATACCACAATCAATAATAAAAAAAAAAATGAGGGAGGGGGGGGTAAATAAATAAATAAATAAATAAAATGTCACACACAAAAAAAAAAAAAAAGGAGCTAGTTTTGGAACAGAGAGGGAGAAACCCACTGGGCTCTACACTCGGCATGAGTGTGTGTGTTTGTTCACCCACGCTCCCACCCACTCCCTCAGTGCCAGGTGCTGCTCTCCCTGGGTGCAAAGATCAGTCAGAAGTGGGCAGGGAGGACAGCGACCAGGTAGGACAAAGGCGCACGCAAGGAGATGCAGCTGAAACGTCCTGCTGGTTTGAGGTTGGGAGGCCCAAGACGGTTTCGGAGAGGAGGAGGTTTGGCCGTGAGCATTCCAGGACAATGGGATTCAGAATTCTCGGAGAATTGGGATCAGGAGGGAAAATGAAGCACAGGAGGCCCCACAGACAAATTCACTGCTTTGTAGCGACCCCTCAACTGCAGGCCTGGGACCGGCAGCCTGAACCTGCCAGGCCGCTGGCATCGTCTGAACCAGTTCAGGGCCCAGAGAGGGGCAGGAGGGGAACCAGCCAGCGGCACATCAGGCCGGGGACAGGGTGGCTGTGTTAAGTCAGGTCCACGCTGCCTTCTGGCATTGGCGGTATCCTCCTGCCATCTGCAGTTGGTCTCCCGGGCTAGGTCTCGGGACAGCTTGTGTGTTTGCCCCACCTTCCTGCTGGACAGACAGGCCACATGACTGAGGAGCAGGGGCTGGGCCAGCACGGGCAGTGAGCAGTGAGGCCACCTTCTGCCTTCTTTCTTCAGCTCCTCCCCTGCTCCCTTTATTTCTCCTCCCCCTTTAGTCCTCTCCAATGAGGAGCTGAAATAGCTGTAAGTCTTTGGCAGGAAGCAGTTGACACTCAGGGACACAAGTCACTGAGTTTTTGTGTTGACAAGGGCCTTCACATCCTGTGCCCGCCTCCCCCTAGGCCGGGGCAGCCCGACCTTCAGACCTGCTTACACCCAGCCAGGCAGAGGCCAGGGTCACGGGATCCATAGAGTTGGGAAGTAGCCAAGAAAACAATAATAATTCCTCACCTGGTGATGGCAGAGCACTTTGTACTTTGTCAGACACGAACGATCGGGCTTGCTGTTTTCTTCAGCCAGCCGGTGCTTGCCGAGCACCTACTGTGTGCCAGGTTGTGGAAAGGTGAATGTGGTAAGGTTGACAGCTTTAAGGAGCCTGTAGGCTGGCTGGGCAAATGTGTGAACAGATACATGTAAGAAATGGTGGGGCAGCTGAAACCTGTTTGGCTTGATGGATAGAGCATCGGCCTGCAGACTCAAGGGTCCCGGGTTCAATTCCAGTCAAGGGCATGTGCATTGGCTGTGGGCACATCCCCAGTAAGAGGTGTGCAGGAGGCAGCTGGTCGATGCTTCTCTCTCACCGATGTTTCTAACTCTCTATCTCTCTCTCCCTTCCTCTCTGTGAAAGATCAATAAAATATATATATTTTTTTTAAAGAAAAGAAATGGTGGGGCAGGTATGTGTCAAGTACAGACCGAGGTCCAAGAAGGAAGTGGTTGATTATACCAGGTATGTTGGGAGGGGCTTCATAGAGGAGACTCAGCGGGGCAGAAGGGGAGAGGTAATTTGGGGTGGATTGGGGGGGGGGTGCATTCTAGGCAGAGGGAGCAACTTGAGCAGGGTCAGCAGCTGGGTGCAGGAGTCTGGATGTGGATGAGGCACTTATGGTGGATGAGACAGCGCAGGCTGCTATAACAGGTACCACAGGCTTATATACCACAGACATTTACTTCTCACCGTCCTGGAGGCTGGAAGTCTGAGATCAGTGCACCAGCAATGTCGGGTTGTGGTGAGAGCCCTCTTCCAGGTTGTAGGCTGCCAACTTTCACAGTTTGCCCACGTGGTGGAAGGAGGGAGGGAACTCTCTGGGGCCTTTTTTTATAAGGACCTTATCCCATTAGTGAGGGGTTCACCCTCAGACCTAATCACCTTTCAAAGACCCCACTCCCAATACCATCAGCATATGGATTTGGGGGGTGGGGAGAGACATAATACCCGATCTACAGAACATGGCCAGAGGCAAGGCTGGAGAGGTGGCAGGGATGGATCTTGGAGGGCCCGGAAAGCAGCGTTAGGAGGTTGGACTTCAGTCTGTAGCAGTGGGCACTCCTGGAGGGCTGAAAGTCAACCTGGCAGGATCGCCCTGGGAGCCACGTGGGGGATAGATGAGAGGGAGGCTGGAGGCAGGGAGGCCAGCTAGGAGGCTGATGTGGCATCCTCTTGAGAAGTGGGTAGTCAGGGAAGGGAGGGGAGGACATGGTTATCAGTCAGATGGGGTGGGGGGAGGGGATTAGGGTAGGAGAGAGCTGAGGGTTCTGTTCTTACAGTTCCTTCGGTCAGTCTACCTTAAGCACCCAGTACATGCCATGTCCTGTGAGGGCACAAAGATGAGAGAGACTGGGTTCTGCCACTGGGAACCGGCAATCTGGGACAGCCCCCTCAGGGCAGCCCCCTCCAGTCGGGTGTGTGCGAGTTGCAAGTGACAAAAACACAATTTAAAGTGACTTTGACTCAAAAAGAGGTTGTGGGGAAAGAGGTTTATAAATTTCGAGGGTAGAGTTTCAAGCAAGGTGTTCAAATAGTGTCCCAAAGAACCAGCTCTTTGCCATTTTATCTCACCTTTACCCTTGTGTAGGCATCATTGATTTTCTTTCATGACTAAGTTTATTCAATCTTTCCTGTCTTAAAAAAATGGACACAGATATAATTGTTTTCCCTTACCACTGTCACTTCTAGTAAGTACAGCAGTGCTTTCCCTTCTTGGCTTCTTAGATTTTTTTTTGTTTTGTTTTGTTTTGCTGCAGCACTCTGCTTTTATTTTAATTTTAAAAAGGGTTTAATTGTGGCAAAGAACACATAACATGAAATTTACCACCGCCCTGGCCAGTGTAGCTCGGTTGGGTGCCATCCGGTGCACCAAAAAGTCGAAGGTTCGATTCCCAGTCAGGGCACATGCCCTGGTTTCGGGCTCAATCCCCTGGTAGCCGGCATGCAGGAGGCAGTTGATGGATATTTCTCTCTCTCTCCCTCTCCCTTTCTCTCTCTCTAAAAATCAATAAACTAAAACCAACAACAGGAACATATTAACTCTGTTCAGTGTGCAGTTCAGCCGCGTTCACTGCATTCACACTGAGTTACAGGCAGGCTGTGCAGGCAGGCTCTCCCCGGCATTTCCCTGCTGACCTCTTCCCAGCTCTCCAAGTCAGTGGAGAGAGAGACTTTCCCAGGATCGGTTCTTTCTTGGCTCAGACTGGGCCGTGCGCTCCTCCTTAGCCACTGACTGTGGCCCTGAGGGTGGGTCAGCCGGCGTATGAGCTGCCCTGGAGGAGGAGTGGGGTCATCACCCTTGAACCACGCAGGCTGAGGCTGCGGGAGGGGTGCTCAAAGGGGAAGCGAGGTGCCACTGTTGAAAGAATGGGAAGTGGAGGCGCAACCAGCAGACGTGCATCCACTCTCGGCCCATAAGACCTGGGTGCAGATCACTTAGGCGAGATAGAAACTGGCTCCACGGGAGAGGGGCGTGTGAAATGCTGTGTAACTCGAGCATCCGCATGTGCTGGGGATTGTGGATGTGGAAAGAGAATCACATTCATCCACATGGAGCTCCCAGCTCCTAGGGGAGAGGAGCTGGCATAAATAACCACCCTACAATGCAGGGTGCCTCAGGATGTGGGTGTTTTCTCCCAGTAACTGGAAGGAGGGTCGGGAATGGTTCCTGGAGAGGCTGGTCTGGAAGCATAGGTAGGAGTAGGATGTGGGGGTGTCGCAGTGTGGTTCCCCATGTGGGGCATGGGTGCCTGCTGTCTGCCCACCGCTTGATCCCAGCTGCTGCTAATACCACCATTGCTTAGCCCCCCCTCTCCCCCTCCTCGGACCTCCGCCCCCGCTGGCTGCTCCAGAGCCTAGGTCTCCTCTGTGGAGCCCACCCCGGGCCCCGCGGGAAGGACCTGGAGTCCGGGGGGAGCCCTGAGCAGGGCAGGTTTGAGGTACTCTCCTCCTCCCGCAGGCCTCTCCCTGGAACGCCTCCCCAACTCCATCGCCTCCCGCCACCGCATGACTGAGAGGGAGGAGGAAGTGATCACCTGCTTCGAGAGGGCCTCCTGGATCGCCCAGGTGTTCCTGCAGGAACTGGAGAAGGTGAGCTGGGAATTCCAGCACCGGGGTCATAGCCGCCCTCTATGGAGAACCTAGATCTCACATGGGGAAAATTGGCCTTGCACGCCTCCAAAGACACGCTTTTAGACAGCAGGTGCGATGGCAGAGTGGATGAGGATTGGCGTCCTGCGGGCATTCTGCAGGAGGAGGTGGTTATGAGCTGAGAGTCTTCGAGCCCAGGAGACACTTGACTCTCACCCACCTACTTGGGCAAATTAGTCAGGATGTCAACCCAGCACCCGTGTGTTTTTGTGATGGAGCTTTTTGGCGGAGTCCTCCTGGGGCTCAGTCTTGGCGCTCCTGACATTTGGGGCCAGATCATTCTTGGTTGTGGGGCTGCGTTTTATAAAATGTTGAGCAGGACCTCTGGCCTATACCCACCGGATGCCAGCAGCCATTTTTGGTTGAGTCACACCTCCTTCCCCCGACCTCCCAGCTGAGAGGCACTGCCCCGGAGTCCCTCTCCTCATTGGACTTTGGGAGGAAAGGAGCAGCAATTGAGGCGCTAGCAGAGGCAGGGCCAAGTGCATTCCCCGGCAGAGGTCCTCGGGGAGGCCCGAGGGGCCAAACTGACCTCGTGAAGTTGCGTGGATCTCTGCTAGCCACAGCATTTTAAGGTGCTCTTCACATTTGAGTGGCATGGGGTTTGGAGGAAACTTTCATAAAAAAAATAAATAAATAAAAAATAAAAATTAAAAAAAAGAGTCTCTCATTCAGCCAGAAGCCTAGACCTTGACTTTAAAAAGATGAAGTTGATGAGCTGCAGTGGTGCTCAGGCCTGGAATCAGTGCCGCATTGAGGAAGGGCCAGCCAGGGAACCCTGTGCATTCTCAGAAATGCTGTGTTCCTCCGGAAGACCCAGCCCCCACCTCTGAGGAGCTGAGAACATTTCTTTATTTTATTTTATTGATCTTTTACAGAGAGGAGGAGAGAGGGATAGTTAGAAACATTGATCAGCTGCCTCTTGCACACCCCATACCGGGGGTGTGCCCGCAACCGAGGTACATGCCCTTGACCGGAATCGAACCTGAGACCTTTCAGCCCACAGACCGACGCTCTATCCACTGAGCCAAACCGGTTTCGGCTGAGAACATCTCTTAATTCATTTTGATTTCTGAAAAGTAAAGCGGCTGGCTCATCGATATTTTTATTGGATCGGAGAAGGGAAGTGGCATCATGAAGGCAGGCCAATCGTGGTGGGGCTGAGAGCTTAGAGCCCTGTTAGTAAGGACAGCTCAGTTAATAACATAATTGTTCCTCAGCTTTTCTGGAACCTGGGGGGCCTGCCCTTGAGCTCTGTGGACGTTTCATAATTGTTTGACAGGGACAGTGGGGGGCCTGGCATATGAGAGGCACTCGGGTGTTTGCTGAGTGAATGGACCAATAAGTAGTAGAAATAGCCTGGAATCGGTAGCTGGCCACACCTGAGTTTGAGATCGGGCGCATGCCAGCTGTGTGACTTTAGGCATTCTCTGAGCCTCCATTACCTCATCTGTCAAATGCAGACAATGCCAGCTTTGTAGGCCTGTGGTGGCATCCGGCATTTGCATGGGAAGAGAGTGCTATGGACATATTGTCAATGAAAGCAGGTTGGGTTGGATTTGACCTGAGAATCGCACCGTTCCCATGGGGTGGACCCTCAGCACCAAGGGACAGTGGCTTTCTCTCTGCTCCCTTCCCAGGTCGCTAATAACACCACGTCGAGGCACCTGAAAGGCTCTCACCCTGTGGACTACGAGCTCACCTACTTCCTGGAAGCTGCCCTGCAGAGCGCATACGTGACAAACCTGAAGAAGGGGTAGGTCGCCGGCAGCCGCTGAGTGAGACGCAGAAGTTCTTCTCTGGGCCGGGTGCTCCTGACGGCAGCGGCGCTTAGTGTGGCCTGGGTGTGTGTGTGCCCTGGAGGGGACCCGTGGGGCTGCTCACCTGGGTCACATCAAGCCGTTCCGAGTGGGGAAGGGCCGAGATTCAGGAGCAATAAAGCCTGTACATGCCTCGGGGAGAGCGGACCTCTGTAGACGGGAGAGACCGGAGGACTGGGCACTGGGCCTCGGGTGTCCATTTGTATCGCTCTCTGGCACCTAGGGTGTTAGGTGAAGTCATTTCGCTTCAGTAGAGAGACAGTGGCCCAGAGGGCTGGTTCCTGTTTTTTTTGCTGCCCCAAAGGCTGGGCCTGGCTGCCTCCCTCTAGCTGGAGACTGCATTGGCCCTCCCCCGGGGGAATCCTTAGCAGCAGCAGCTCAGGGATGAATGGGGGATGCGAAAAGATGCTGCCCTCGGCCCCTATCTGCAGAGATTTGGGAGAAGGGGCTGCCAAATCTCCGAAACCTGTTTTTGCAAATAAAGTTTTATTGGAACATAGCCACACCCATTATTGACATATTTTCTCACCCACAGAGCTGAGCCTAAAATATTTATGCTCTGGTGGCCCTTTATAGAGGCCTCTTGTCGAAGAGGTGCCCTTCTCCTTCTGCACGGGAGCCCCATAGAGTCAGTTTTGTGGGAGGGGACAGTTCTGAGTTCCAATATTCTGTCCCCTTGGTTCGTTCATTCATTCATTCATTCAACAACTATTCATTACACTGACACGTGGCACTTATGAAGTGCTGACTTTGCTCCAGGTACTTAAGTGCTTTGCTTGCATGTATATTTAATTGTCCCAACAGCCCCCTGAGGCAGGTGCTATTATTAGCATCCCCGCTTTACAGGTGGGAAGCGGAGGCACAGAGAACATAAGTGACTGTCATGTGTGGAGCCAGGATTATGTGTGCAGTTCCTGTCGGATACTCTTAACCACTAGGCTACCCTGTTTTCAGCAGAAGCCCTGGGGTTAATAGGACCCTGCTGCTCACAGCCTAGCATTTGTTCCCCTGAGTGTGCTCAAGCATGGTGGGTGTGGTCCCAGCATCTGGTTCGAAGAGTTTGGTGGGTGCCCTCTCCATCTAGAGCAGTTTCCCAAAGCGTGGTACGCGTACCTCCAGGGGTACGGGAAGAGTTTGGTGAGGGTACGCGTTGCACCGGAGTTTGGTGGGGATATGCACTGCACCGCGCTAATTCTACTTTCTCATGAGTACGAGGGGTCCTCAGCGTTATGAAAATTGTAGAAGGGGTACACATATGTCAAAAGTTTGGGAAACACTGATCTAAAGGACTTCAGGACAGGGCCTGGGAGATGGAAGCCAGCGATGTTCCTGAGCAAGTTCCTCTGTCCTCCCCATCATGCCTCCAGCTCTGCTTCCTCCCCTCTGACAGGGAGCTTCTGGGTGAGGGTTCCAGAAGAGGGAGGGAATGAAAAGATCCCTTGAGCACCGGAGGCATTACAGTTAATGCCCACTCCGCTGAGGCCCACCCCTCAGGGCTGCCTGCTTCCTGTCCCCTCATTGCCTTTTCTGTAGGCGCCATGAAGTTAAGGTGAATGCCAGGGTGGCCGGGAGGGAAGAGGGGAGAAGACCAGCAAGTTCTGAGCACCTGCTGTGTGCCGGGCTGGACCATGCGATCTGCACAAGGTCGTGCGACCTTACTTCACAAAGGCTCAAATAGGTTGGGTAGCTTGCCTGCCCTCACCCCCTGGGATTTCTGCTTCCGGTCTGAGTGGCCTGGAAAGCCATGCCCTTTCCAGTTTGGAGTGAAGAGGGGCAGCCTGAGGGGTGTGGAGAAGGACAGGAGGATCTGATGAGGGTTCTGGTCTCCGGGCTGATTTTTGGTATGCTGACCGGGACTCTCACTGCCTCTCAGGCCTCGAGTTTCCATTCCCCAAGGGGGCGGTTCCTCTTCCTGTAGCTGGTCCCACACCCTCTTCAGAGTGACCCGTTTCCTGTCTTCTACATTCTTAACGCTCAAACTGTGTGTGCCTGTGTGCGTGCACGTGTGCATGTGTGTGTTGCCAGCAGTGGGCAGAGGCATTAATCAGCCATCACCCTGCAGGAAACCCCAAGAAATTTCAGTTACTTTTCCATTCCTGTCACTCTGCTCCCCTCCTTTCAAACTCTTTTCCTCCTGTAGCACAAACTAAGTCCTTAGAATCAGGATGCTGACTCCTTCCCCCATCCCCTCCCACCCTCTGACGCCGCCCTAATAAAGAGGAATGGAAATTGAATCATCGTTTCTTTCCAAGGGAGCAGCCCAAACCTCTGGTTTCCTTGGGTCACATCCCACTCAGAGGCGGCCCCAGAGTGTGGCAAATATGTAAAGCAGAGGTCCCAGCCCTGTGCCTTTCATTATTTATAATAATGGGCTTTCATGATTTCTTCACAATTTTCTCCTCAGTACTAGCTAATAATTGGTCAGTAGTTTCTGCATGCCGGGCAGCGAACTGTGACGTGGGCACTAGTAAATCCCCATTTTCCTGAAGGAAGGAAATGAAGCCACAGGGTAACAGGTGGTGGTGTCAGCAGGTCTGGTACTGACCTGGGTCTGAGGAGGCCTGTCCTTTATGTGTTAGTGGCATCCCTGTTAGATACCAGTACCTGCCTGCCTCACCCCAAAGCGTAACAACCAAAAATGTCTTCAGACATTGACACATGTCCTGGAGGTGGGGGGACAAAATCGCCCCCCGTTGAGAACCAGTGTCTTAGCCGAAGGTCAGGGGGAGATTGGGACCCAGACACCCGCATGGAGTCTTCTCCTCCAGGGCAGCTCTGGAAAGTCCTTTAAAGGGCTCCAGGCCGGTGTGGCTCAGTGGTTGAGCATCAACCTGTGAACCAGGAGGTCAGGGTTCAATTCCCAGTCAGGGCATATGCCCGAGTTGTGGGCTCCATCCCCAGTGTGGGGGGGGCATGCAGGAGGCAGCCAATCCTTGGTCCTCTCTCATCATGGATGTTTCTTTCTTGGTGGTCTGTGTCCCATTTTGGGGCATGGGGAGACCTCTGCATCCTGCTGGGGAGAACATGCTCTCCCAGCCTCTGAATGCACAGCCTGCTTATTGTTAGCACCCTGCCCCTCCTCTCCCTCTCCCTCTCTGAAATCAATTAAAAATATTTAACAAAACAAAACATACTTGGTTAAAAAAAAAAAGGGGGGAGGGAGGGTGCTGCAGGCCATTTCCTGCTGGTTATATTCACCCCCACTTACTGGATTCTTTGCTGTTGGGGGGGGGGGGAGGGAGGGTGGCGTGCATCCACAGGGGTCACGGCTTAGTAGGGGGGTGGGGCTAAGGTAAGAAAGCCCAGAGAAGAGCCACAGTGTGCCAGGCACCCCGCCTGACTTGGGATTGGAGCGGGAACAGGGCAAGGTCCCCCTCTATGGCGCTCACATCCCATTGGGAGTCAACAGTGAAGGAGCCAACAATACTGGCCAGCCCACGTTGTGCTAGGGAGGAAAAGGCAGGGAGGTGGGGCCTGCTGGGCAGGTGGACACAGTTCCTCCCGGGCCCAGTGGAGTGGAGCCAGGAACCAGGAGCAGCGTGGGTGCTAGAAGAAGTTCCTTAGGGCCTGAGGGACAGGAGAGATGGTAGGACCTGCGTCTGGGTGGGCATCAGAGAGCCAGCGCTCATGCCTACCTGGACCTCGGGAGAACCCAGCCCCCAGAGGGCCCGGGGCAGAGCCCCTGCCGAGAATTGGGAGACCAGATGGCCACAGCAGTGCCTGCTCCCAGGACCCAGCCCTGTCCCTCCCTCGGGGATTTGACATAACTTAAAGGGTGTGGTGTTCTCCACTGTGCAGAGGGGGTGACGTCTGCTGGGGCTGCAGGCAGCACTTTTATTCTGAGCTGCAGCGAAGCCTGGGCCTCCCTCGAGCGGCCTGGTTACTCATTCAGTGTGTCTGAGGGACGTTCATTTTTTCCAGGGTCTTGCCCTGTTGATCTAGCAGTTAATTCCCCCAGATGACTCCTCCTGCCCTTGCTCTGTGGCTGGTGACACAGAGCCTGACTGACCTGGAACTATAAATGCTGGCTTGAAAGGACCATCAAGAATTGGGAGTTCCCCCTCCCAAAGGGCAGGGTCTGAGTTGCCTGGCATTCGACTCCCCTCATGGCCACCAGAGGGCAGCCGTGGACTCTGGTTGGAGCCTCGCCCCAGGCAGTTCTGAGAATGCCCGCTGCCAGGAGGGGGCACCTTTCTGGCATGTTCTTGGGGAGAAGGGAGGGAGGGTAGTGGTAGCTGGGCCCAGGGCCCTGGCTGCGGGGGAGGCTTGGTTTTCCTTTGCAGGAAGTAGCCCCAGGGGGTGAGGCAGCAGGGGAGCTGGGGCAATACAATGCCCTGGAAGCTGACTGTCCCTCCCTGGCCTTGACCACGAGGACCAAGTCTCTGGGCATCTCCCAAGAATAAGAACATGAGCTCAGTTAGCCCTTTTCCTCCAAGTGAGCAAGGGGCCATTCTCGGGGGGCGGGGGGGAGGGGGGCCTTTTTTCTTCCTTCTGCCTAGCCCTGCAGAGCCCATTCTTGGCTCAAGGCTGGGAGTGAGCATAGGCCCTGTGTGTTCAACCAGGTGGGCTATGTCTTGTGCATGTTCTTTAAAAAAAATTTTTTTTTTTAATTACTAAAGCTACATGTGCTCATTATACCAAAACCAAACAATAGAGAAGGGAGTGTGTGTTTTCTAAGGGAGTTCCCAGGAGCTTGGCAGGTTGTTCAGCCTTATGAAAGCACTCTCCCCTTCTGCTGTGTGTGTGTGTGTGTGTGCATACATGTGCGCGCTTCACCTTGTCAAGTAGGTGCTGAGTTGAGAAGCAACTAAGGCAGTTAGGGCTACAGATGCTTATGCGGAGGAGGCACCTTAGAAAGACCAGCCTGCTTCTTAGTGACCCTGTGAGGGTGGTCTTCAGTCAGTTTTGTCTTATTCTCAGCAGCCACCCAGTATCT